AAAAAAAAAAAAAAAAAAAAACGATCCTTTTTTGTTTTGCACGTTGAATGCCCTTGTTATTTCCGTGAATTTTTGTATGATCGTTTTTCAGCCAATTTTGATTCGATTGTGGTTGCTTTCTTTCTCGTTTTATTTCCTTCATTAATGTTTCAAAATTTTCAGCCAGTCTTAGGTTCATTTCTTCTTTCTGTTTGCTTTCCCTTTGTTTTCTTTCTAAATATATCTTGTCAATCTTGTCATGGAAATGGCAACTGTAGAAGATCTCGACGAGATTGTATGAATTGCGTTTAGTTTAATCTTGTCATGGAAATGGTAACTGCAGAAAATCTAGACAAGATTGTATGAATTGCCTTTAGTTTGCTACTCTCTCTCTCTCTCTCAATGGACTGCAAGCTAGGGTGATTTCCAGATTTTGGTTTTTTGATTCTTGGACAATGTGGGTGCTTTCTTGTTCCGTATAAGATTCTTTTTCTCTTTACTTACATCTTATAGTAAGATGAGTGGATCTTCTTTCTTTTGGCTTCTTTGAGGATTTATGTAGTTGTCACTTCAAGATTCTTTGTGAATTGAGGTTCTGGTGGTTCACTTGTGGTCCTGGGGTAGAACTTGGAACTTTATTTGCTATACATTTGATGTAAAATCTGTCTTTGTGTGGAAAATGGTTAATTGGAAAATATGAAACAAGTGGAGAATAAAGACTTACTTTTCTTGTAATTGTTGCTAGCCAAGAAAAAAAAAAAAAAAAATTCTTGAGAAGGATTGTCTGGTCTTTGTCAATGATAGCAACTGAGTTTGTTGAAAGTCTGAATTTAATAATTTATTTTTTCCTCAGATGTTGCATTTTTTTAAGGGCTTGTTTCTTGAATTACTATTATGATTGAAAAATGTGTTAATTCTTGTAACTGTGTCAGATATAGCGTCTCCACTTTGCAAATTGAATAATTATTTGTGTGTACAGAAACCTCAGAGAGCTGGACTTGCAGGAGTGTGAAGTGGATGATCTGAGTGGGCACTGGCTTAGCCATTTTCCTGATACCTGCACATCATTGGTGTCCCTTAACATTGCTTGCTTAGTCTCTGAGGTGAGTTTTTCTGCTCTGGAGCGCCTCGTGGCTAGGTGTCCCAACCTGAGGAGTCTTCGTCTCAACCGTGCTGTACCCCTTGAGAGGCTCCCTAATCTACTCCGCCGAGCCCCTCAGCTGATTGAGTTGGGGACTGGTGCCTATTCAGCTGATCTCCGATCTGATGTCTTTTCAAGCCTAACAGAAGCTTTTTCAGGATGCAAGGTTCTCAAGGGGCTATCTGGGTTTTGGGATGTGGTTCCAACCTACATTCCAGCTGTCTATTCTATCTGCTCTGGGATAACTAGTCTGAATTTAAGTTATGCCAATATCCAAAGCCCTGATCTTGCGAAACTTGTTAGCCAGTGCCATAATTTGCAGCGTCTATGGGTATGTCTATACTTCTATTATTGTTAATTCGTTTATGCCTATAATCATTTTAATTTTTTTGGGATAAATGAATAATTTCTGTATTTGCTTGTGATGTCAAAACATTGTAAAGTTAATGGGCTTTCAGATATAATACATTAGTTGCCCCGTAACCAGAAATGATGAACCTGCCTGAAATATGACTAATAATAGTTGGATGATCATTGTATTCGAGGCCATACCTTTTGGTTTATTATCTTAACCCGAATCTAGTTGAAGTGAGATGGTTTGGACATTTTTGGGTATATCAATAATCTTCGTCACTTGGCTAATGATCGTATTTATCTTTTTAGACTGTGCTTTGGATTCAAATTCGGATGCAATTCTTTACCTATTGCACCACTGCATTTTTAAACTACTGAAGACACGACTGCAGGTACTGGATTACATTGAAGACAGTGGCCTTGGTGCCCTTGCTGCATCTTGCAAGGATCTGCATGAACTGAGGGTGTTTCCTTCTGATCCATATGTCCCAGAACCAAATGTATCCTTGACAGAACAAGGCCTTGTCTCTGTTTCAGAGGGCTGCCCTAAGCTTGAGTCAGTCCTGTACTTCTGTCGCCGAATGTCAAATGATGCATTAATTACCATTGCTAGGAACCGCCGTAATCTGACTCGATTTCGTCTTTGCATCCTTGAGCCTCATACTGCTGATTACCTAACCCGGGAGCCGTTGGATGCTGGTTTTGGAGCTATTGTTGAGCACTGTAAGGGATTGCGGCGCCTATCCGTATCTGGTCTTCTCACTGATCGTGTGTTTGAGTACATTGGGACCCATGCTAAGAAGCTAGAGATGCTATCTATTGCCTTTGCGGGTGATAGTGATTTGGGCCTCCATCACGTGCTGTCTGGTTGTGAAAGCCTGAAGAAACTGGAGATTAGAGATTGCCCCTTTGGAGACAAGGCTCTCTTGGACAATGCTGCGAAGCTGCAGACAATGCGATCCCTTTGGATGTCCTCTTGCCTAGTAACTTATGGAGCATGTAAACTGCTAGGTCAGAAGATGCCTAGGCTTAACGTTGAAGTTATCGATGAGAGGGGATCCCCAGATTCAAGGCCGGAAAATTGCCCTGTCGAGAAGCTTTACATATATAGGTCAACTGCGGGGCCAAGGCTTGACATGCCTGGTTTTGTGTGGACAATGGGTGCTAACATGCTGCATTGAGACTGTCATGAGTTTTCTTGAGAGACCTTGGGTCTCATCAATGATTATAGCAGGTATATCCCCTATATATATGCTACTCATCATTTCGATTTGTTTAATTTAATGAGGCTTTATATAGTTGCAGTGCCAATTGAAGTGGGAACGAGTTATTTGAGGGTATAGAGAGGCTTGAGAGCTCGTATGCCATCTATTTTACACTTGGCTGAGCTATTTGTTGCGATTAATAATGAGGATAACCCCCCTGTTATTGTAATGTGTATCGACTAGAGTTGTCATTCAGTTTGGATTAGTTAACCATGTATGCTATATGTGGACTCTTGCATGTCTATACGGTTTGGTTTGGTTTGGTTTGGTTTGAGTTGGTTGCACCGGAAATGTTGAACTTCTTGACTCAGTGTGAAGTTATCATTTGTCTTTTGGAATAATGAAATTTATGTTTTCCACTTTTATCCAAGAACAAGAAAAAAAAGTTAATGTTTGTCATGCACCTTTGATATACTATCAGTTATTCTTGTCCATGTCATTTTATTAGTTATCTTTTTCTAATTTCACAATTGAATTTTTTTGTTTTGTTTTTTTTTTTTTTTAGGTTTTGTTTTTGTTTTATCAATGTATTGGTGTCTATTCCATTGAATAAAAACAATGTGGTAGCAAATTTCTTACTAAGAATTTTGTGGTATCGCAATCAAACAGATTTTGGTAACAAACTTGTTACATGACCTGTATTTTTTATGGGATTTGGCACAGAAATCATATATTGATATCATACAAATTAATTGTTACTTATCTTTACTACAATAGCAACAGTCCTAGTATTGAATGTTTAAGAAATCAAATGAATTTTGACTTGATAAGATGTTCTATGTTTAGTTTTTGATTTCAAATCAGATCCTAGTTTGTTCAGATTACTTTCAAGGGTTAACCAAGATGATGTGATTAGGCTGAGTGAGTGCATTTTGTTTTTGAGACAATTCTCTGTTGTCACAAAGAACTCGTCTGTTCTGCCTCAAGCACTCTCCTCCATGAATTGAATTCCTTTGATGGAAGTTGTGGATAGTTTGATTACAGTGATATGCAATTCTTTTGATACTCGGAAGAAATGCAATAATTATTTATTTTTATTATTTTTTTCAGATAATATTCTCCATTTAGGAGTCATTACTACTGCAAAAGTTTCATGGGTTAGAGTAGGAGTCATTATTAGATCTTCTCTTTCCATGCTGAGTTCGTAAAAAAAAATCAGTTGAGCTATGAATACAAAAAAAAATAATAAATAAATAATGAGACACAGCTCGTGAGATAAATGTGGGTTGTACATGTGGGGTTGATTATGTGAAAATCATAGGTGCACTATTAATCAAATCTTTTTGATCTGTCTTTTCACATTTCTGGTGTTTTTTTGACCTCTCTCTCTGGCTCTTCCAAATTTGGAACAACGTCTAAGAATTAATGCATCTAGGATTGCAATCTTAGTGCTTGAACAAAACTGTTAAAAACTCTTTCAAGTTACCTAAAAAGTCAGGAGTTCAAGTTGATGGAGTAATGGCGGTCCTTTAAATGGTATATTAATTTTACTAACAAATTAACAAATTTAACTACTTAAAATGTTGAAAAAAAACAAAGTGTTCAATAAAACAGTTTAAGAAGAATATTATGTTTGTATTTGATAAATGACTCAACTTTCTCTTCTCTCTTTAACCATTTGTCGTTGAATTGTTTTGGCATATTGTTCATGTTGTGATATATGAAAACTGATTTGAAAACAGATTCTTCGACACAATTTTTTAAGACTTACATGCAAAATAATGTATGAAAATAGTATTAACTCAATTCAATCAAGCACTTTGATTAGGTTAAATAAAGCTAGGTTGATTACCATCAATCAAAATAAACATGCATTATCTGTGAAATTCCCTACAAGAACACAAGTGACATTCACCAAAAGCACCTCTCCTGCTTTTTAAACAGTACTCAGACTTGTACACTAACTGATTGAGATTTGGCTTCATATTTTTGTAGATGTCAACTTCAAGGGTTAGCGGCAGTACCTCAGATCATTTGACACATTGCAACAAAAATTGTTCTAAATGTCAGAAAAAAACAACTATTCGAATTTCTGAGACGGTGAGAAACAAAAACAAGTTATTTTATTGTTGTCATGACTGCGGTGGTTTTCTTAGATGGTGCTTGCCTACAAATTCACCATGTAAACATGAAGGACAAGTGCAAATGGACAATATGCCAACAGTCACCAAACAACTTCGAAGTATGGGCGAACACCTTCAATTTCATAGCGTGCAGATGCAAAAATTGTAGACAGACTTAAATCGAAGTTAGTGTTGTATTTATGGGATCTTTTTCTTCCTTGTAATTGGTGTTGTATTAGTTATGAAGATGTAATAATTTATATAAAAGTTAGAAGTTGAAATAGATGATATGTATGAAGATTTATGATATATGATAGTTATTTTTGACAAGTATGAAGATGTAATCTGTTATCTTTTTGTATGTTTGAAGAATGATTGAACATAGGTTGTTATATGCTTGTTTGTTTGAAGAATGATTGAACACATGTTGTTATATGTTTGTTTGTTTCAAGAATGATTGAACACATGTTATATGTTTGATTGAACACAGGTTGTTATATGTTTCTTTATTTGAAGAATTTTTGAACACAGGTTGTTATATGCTTGTTTGTTTGAAGAATGATTGCACAAGTTGTTATATGTTTGTTTGTTTGAAGAATAATTGAACACAGGTTGAAGACAGATTTTTCAACACAAAATTTTAAGACAGATTTCTCAACACAGAATTTGAAGACAGGTTTTTTAACACAAATTTGTGGACAGATATTTTGAACACAACTTTTTGAAGACAGATTTTTTAACACGGGTTTTTGAACATAGTTTTTGAATACAGATTTCTAGACAGATATTTTAAACACAGAATTTGAAGACAGGTTTTTCAACAAAGATTTCTGGACAGATATTTTAAACACAAAATTTCAAGACTGGTTTTTCAACATAGATTTTTGAACAAATATTTTCAACATAGCTTTTTGAAGACAGATTTTTTCACACAGGTTTTTTAACACAGTTTTTGAAGACAGATTTTTTTCACACAGGTTTTTCAACCCATATTTTGAAGAAAGATTTTTTAACAAATAATTTAAACACAGAATTTGAAGACAGGTTTTTTAACACAGCTTTTGAAAACAAGTTTTGGAACACAGATTTTGAAGACAGTTTTTTGAACACAGATTTTTGAAGACAGCTTTTTGAAGACAGCTTTTGAAGATAGATTTTAAAGACCGATTTTGGAGCACAAATATTTAATACAGTTTTTGGAACACAGATTTTCAACACAGATTTTTGAATACAGATTCTTTGAAATCAGATTTGTAACTGATTTTTATCATATTTCCATCCACATCTATATAGAGCTAGACAGCAAATATAACAACAAAGCAACATCAAATTTCTATAAATTTCATAAATTATGCTCCATCAAGTAACAAAGATAGATGCATTAAATTACTCCCACCACAAAATAAACTCCAAGTTAAAATTACAAGTTTCCAACTAACGAAAACGAGACTCATTTCGGTCCATTTGTATATTGAAGTCAACAAAAGAAGACGGTAGGGCTCCATAAATTTGATTCGTAGCACTCATGGATTGTTGAGTTCGCATTATGTCAATAACTCCTGGTGTGCCTTCAATACATTCCGATTGGTTAAGAGATGTGTCAACGAGTGAGTAAGCACACATGATACCTCTAAATTGAAACAACCAACACATACATTAAACATCAACTTCAGTCAAATTATAATACACAATAAAGTCCACATGCTTCATCTTCCCAAAAACTACCACAACTTCTGTAGCTCGGCTTTTTCAAAGCCTCCTTTCGGAAGCTCGAAAAGAAAGCCCTACAGTTCGGACTCCCGTGGTGCTAAATTTAATCTCACAAGTGCAATGTGAACTGATAATCACCAAAGAGTTCAAATCTGGCAAATCGTTTTGGAAAATTGATTTTGAATCAAAAAGTGCCAAAATTGGACTACTTTGCCAGATACAGAGTTGCCACCTAAATATTTTATTTTGGGGAAATTTAGGAAAACCATGACTCGTGCCAAAGGCCACGTATCCGTCATCACCAAAGTTGTCTCGACTCGGGAACTTGGGTACGAGAGAGAAAGGTCATGAACTGAGCACCCTCGCTCACCCGATCAAAGGCCGACCTCTACTAATCATGATATGATCTTTTATAAATATTATATATTCTTGTTCCGGTTATTAAGCTAGCATTACTATGTGATGCGCACAAGCAAGTTTAGACTAGTTTGCTCAATTTGGAACAATTCAACTTATGTTTATTTGCAAAAATAGTTTGAACTTGCCACCTCAAGTGGGCTTAAAGTTTGCAGATTTGCCACAAAACATAGTGGGCTTAAAATATAATTTGCCACTCAACAAAATGAGCTTAAATGGCACAATCGTTGAATCGTTCCGATTCAAACAACAAGCCTTCATCCACAAGCATTTAAGCAATTTAACAAGTAAGCATTTAGCCACATGGCAAGCATGCTAATCATGCCAACATTCATATTCATGCGAGTATGTTAAAGCGTAAAAACTCACCTAGTACTCTGAGCTAAGAAGATAAAGTTAGAAAAAATGCATGCTTCCTAACTATACAAAGTGTTTAATGCAACACATGCAATATGCATTTAATAGGCTCGGCTACTAATATGGTATATGAATTGATTTGATAACATGCGGTTAAACACGATTCAAATAAGATATTGAAATCGCAATGCAGTTGGAATGATGCGCCGAGCATCGGTGCATGTAATACGAAATAAATGGATGCAAGCATAAGGCATAACGTATGCTAATTAAAACATGACCCTAATCTAATCATCGAAAGCAATTAAATAAAAGGAAGAAAGATGTGGGGTTGGAAAATATACACACACGCACGCACACACACTTATTTCAACATTACGCCCTCGCGAAGGAGGGTCTGAATGAATAGGAGCTAACTAGCTAACTGATTAAACTAATCTAATTAAGCTAATTTAGACTAATTATTACAACACTTTAACTAACTAGTAAACTAATTAATTAATTTAAAACACAGATGCACACGAACTAAGCATTTAAGACATTAAACTATGCTGTCACTGCTCTGCCTCGGGAAGTGTAAGATGCACATGCTCGGTTTTGACCCGAAAAGACCTTCATTTTTCCCTCGAAAGCCTCTATTTGCAAGGTTAAGCATTTCCAGAATCTTTCTACTCCATCTTACCAAAATCAACTGAGGTTCACATCAGTGACCTACCAGCCATGGATGACTACTGCTGACCCTCTACCGGCCAAAAATGGGGGTTTGCTGACCACTAATGGTGCACTGCCGACCACTGATGGTGCATTGCCGACCATTGATGCATTGGATCACCATGCTACAACAAAGCATAA